TACGCGGCGCTAGTGAGCAAGTAAATTTCCTGTATAAGCTGTATCTCGAGAACCTGGCCATATAGAAGGTTACTGTCTTCAGCAAAGTTGTTCAGATGAATAACTCCTTTCGGATGATTGTCATATTATTTCAGAACTCTCACACTACGCGGCGCTAGTGTACACATGAACTTCCTTAATATGTTATGTCTCCAAAGCTTGTCCATGTTGCCGATGTTGCTGTGCAATGTGAGAACAGGAACCGGAAAAGGGATGACGTGTAGAGGCCGGAAATCGATGTCAGATGCCATTTTGGAATCCAAGATGGCGGGCATCGGCTCAAGAAAAACTGTCAAATACCCTACAATATGGATATTTTTGGAAAGGGGACGACGTGTAGAGGCCGGAAATCGATGCCAGATGTCATTTTGGAATCCAAGATGGCGGCCATACGGTCAGGAAAAACTATCAAATACCCTATAATACAGGTATTTCCAGAGAGGGAACGACGTGTAGAGGCCAGAAATCGATGCCAGACGCCATTTTGGAATCCAAGATGGCGACCATCGGGTCAAGAAAAACTGTCAAATACCCTACCATATGGGTATTTCCAGATAAGGAACGACGTGTAGAGACCGAAAATCGATGTCAGACGCCATTTTGGGATCCAAGATGGTTGCCATCGTTTCAAGAAAAACTATAAAATACCCAACAAAATGGGTATTTTCGGATAGGAGATGACGTGTAGGGACCGGAAATCGATGTCAGATGCCATTTTGTAATCCAAGATGGCGACCATAGGTTCAAGAAAAACTGTCAAATACCCTACAATATGGATATTTTTGGAAGGAGACGACGTGTAGAGGCCGGAAATAGATGCCAGACGACATTTTGGGATCCAAGATGGTGGCCATCGGGTCAAGCAAAACTGTCAAATACTCTACAATATGAGTATTTCCGGAAAGGAAACGACGTGTAGAGGCCGTAAATCGATGCAAGATGCCATTTTGGAATCCAAGATGGCGGCCATCAGTTTAAGAAAAACTGTTTAATACACTACAATGTGGGAATTTCCGAAAATGGATGACGTGTAGAGGCCAGATATAGATTCCAGACGCTATTTTGGAATCCAATATGGCGGCAACATGTTTTCCATGGTCACCATAGCCGATCGAACTCCAAACGAAACTAGAACCACACTACCGTTCATACTGGTGACAACGCTCTGATGAGACAACGAAACCTTACCCCCAAGCTCCTTCCCTGATCGTATCCTTCGACAATGTACCTCTCTTACCTCGAGTAAGCCGCGAGTATTCGGCCCAACTCCTACTAGACATAGAATTAAGTGAATGTTGTTACAAACAAAGAACAATGAACTATCGACTCCGTAAAGTTAACGTGATTGAGCCTTCCAAATAAACGAACTAGTTAAAAAAAATATGTTTTCCATATATAAGGCTTACCAAGAATATTGCGTATAATTTATTGTGTATAGCGTATCACTGAGCAAGATCGCAACATAACGTGGAAAATTCCTCAAAACAATAAAACGCTTTTAATTGTTTTGTTTTTTTTTTCTATCGTAAACTACAGATTTATTCCTGGACCCCTCTACAGTGAATATGGTTGATATTTTCATTAACCACCTGGTGCGGCAGAAATCGAGTTAAAACTAAATCAACTCTCCGAGATCGAAAGTTTATGCACATTGGACAGCAATGTTGAACGGAGTGCAAAAATGCAAGATTTGCTAAGGGAAGTCGAGACCCATCTCACGGTGTGGAAGATCGAGAGTGACTAGAATGCATAAAACATGACAGCGCTGGTTGGTTCTTTGTTATCGAAAGAGAAAATAAAATGTGGAATAAATCTGTAGCTTACGATAGAAAAAAACAAAACAAATCAAAGCATTTTATTGTTTTGAGGAATTTTCCACGTTACGTTGCGATCTTGCTCAATGATACGCTATACACAATAAATTATACGCAATATGCTTGGTAAGCCTTATTTATGGAAAACATGTTGCCGCCATATTGGATTCCAAAATAGCGTCTGGAATGTATATCTGACCTTTACACGTCGTCCCTTTTCGGAAATTCCTACATTGTAGGATATTTGATAGTTTTTCTTAAAACCGATGGCCGCCATCTTGGTTTTTAAAATGGCGTCTGGCATCGGTTTCCGGCATCGGTTTCCGGCCTCTACACGTCCGGAAATACCCATATTGTAGGGTATTTGACAGTTTTTATTGAACCAATGGCCGTCATCTTGAATTTCAAAATGGCATCTGGCATCGATTTTCGGCCTCTACACGTCGTTTTCTTTCCGGAAATACTTATATTGTAGAGTATTTGACAATTTTTCTTGACCCGATGGCCGCCATCTTGGATTACAAAATGGCATCTGACATCGATTTCCGGTCTCTACATGTCATCTCCTATCCGAAAATACCCATGTTGTAGGGTATTTGACAGTTTTTCTTGAACCGATGGCAACCATCTTGGATTCCAAAATGGCATCTGACATCGATTTCCGGCCTCTACAGGGTCGTTCCCTATCCGGAAATACATCTTGGATTCCAAAATGGCATCTGACATCGATTTCCGGCCTCTACACGTCATCCCTTTTCCGGTTCCTGTTCTCACATTGCACAGCAACATCTTATATGGACAAGCTTTGGAGTCATAACATATTAAGGAAGTTCATGTGCACACTAGCGCCGCGTAGTGTGAGGGTTCTGAAATAATATGACAATCATCCGAAAGGAGTTATTCATCTGAACAACTTTGCTGAAGACAGTAACCTTCTATATGGCCAGGTTCTCGAGATACAGCTTATACAGGAAATTTACTTGCTCACTAGCGCCGCGTAGTGAGCGTGTTTTGGACTAATATGACCATCATCCGAAAGGACTTGCTCACCTGCACAACTTTGCTGAAAACAGCAACTTTCTATATGGCCAGGCTCTCGAGATACAGTTTATATAAGAATTGCACATGCACACTAGCGCTGCGTATTGAGAAAGTTCTGAACTAATATGGCCACCATCCAAAAGGACTTGATCACCTGCCCAACTTTGCTGAAAACAGCAACTTTCTATATGGCCAGGCTCTCGAGATACAGTTTATATAGGAATTGCACATGCACACTAGCGCTGCGTAGTGAGAGAGTTCTGAACTAATATACCATCCAAAAGGACTTGGTCACCTGAACAACTTTGCTGAAGACAGTAACTTTCTATATGGTCAGGATCACGAAATATTCTATGTTGGAAATATGATCCATATATTATAGCGCCCGTCATAAGTAACATAAAAGTGAAGCGCCTCTAGCGGCGTAGTTCTCAATTTAACCCGAATCCAATGGCACAGGCTTGTTGGTCTAACCCAGTACAGCAACTTTGTCCAAGACAGTATAGCTTTATGTATTGAAACAAATGAGATAATCCACTACAGCCCCCATTAGTGAAAATCCCATAAGCTGTGGGTATCCTTATTCGCGGTTCCTTATTCACGCCCCCGTTACCCCGGCAATAAGGATTCCTGACTGTACTTCTTACAGTAGCAGCACCTACCCCACCCGTGTCCCCTGGAGATCGTCAAGTCGACGATGACAGGAGCACATACCGTGGTAAGGGGTAAACAATAGCTGCAATTTCCAAACCTACGACTGTGGATGCCTTCCTTCGAATAACAACTGGAGTGCGGTAAAAATCGGTAGAACTGTTTCAAACACATCGTTGGTACTTGAGCGGTCGGCGATCATCTCTTTTTGCCAGTGGTGGCGGGGGGACACACACCCCTCACCATCCCTCTCCAAAGGGGGGAGTTTGGTAAAGAGAGATGATAAAACCGATTTGTACCTTCCTTAAAAGTTGTCCTAGCTCGCTATCTACTCTTCTATATGCAATTTTCACACTTCCGTAATCTAAACGGAACTATCAATTCTATACTTTCATCTCCTCCTCATCTATCGTATAAAAATTACCACTTCAGTCAGTTATTCGAAATTAGCATCTTCAACTATGTGTTCTTTGGTGTTTCCTAGCGGATAGTCAGGTTGGTGTTCGCTGATTCAAAGAATGGATGGGATGTCTGTCCAGAGTTGGGCGTTGTTGAACTTATGGAACTTGCACAACATTTTATATGAGTATCCAAGTAACCAAATAGTCACAAAGTAGCTTTGAATGTGGGTTCAGAGTGAGACAATGTCACTGAGACGCAATATGGTAACTTGGATATTCGAATAAAACTATTGTTATTATATGGTCTACGATTCAAGATTGATTTCTGTAATGATAAGTATCACGATCTTCATCAAAACTTAAGTATTATTGACCATAATCATAACAATCAATTCGTAGATAAATTGAAATACATATATAAAAGGAAAGGGACGGTCCAACAGGGCACCCGATTGAAGCGATTTGGAGTGAGAATGCCAACTCCCTATTGATAACATTTCGTGGATAAAGGGACTTTTATCCCCACTCGTTGGGGCATCTTCCTGTTTGGGGGCTTGTCTTTTCAACCAATTGGCTGATCAAGTTGCTGGAAGGAGATTCTTTATTGTTCCGTAGGTGCGTATAGGCAACTTTGCCTATAGATCTACCCAATCCGTTTTTGGCCCTTCATACAGCGGCATGTTGAGGACAATCAGAGGTTATTAAGCTTGATCAAGACAAACATAGAAGAGAGCCCACTGCTGTCGGACTTACTTTCCGTGCTACAATGGCACAAATCTGAGGGTTGGCCCGTTGAAAAAAATGATAAAAAAAAATCTCTCATATAAACGTGCGCCAATCTAATGTACATTGTTAGCTCGGTGATTCCAAAATCGGTGGCAGTCCTGTGAACTATTTGCGCCTTTACAGGAAAGTTATATTGGTATGTAAAGGAGGCGTCCTATTCCAGAAACTGCACCAGCATCGCTGAGTACGTATAGATTGTTTTCATGATCTGCAAACGATTGCAATGGATTGGTCAATATTTCGAACTACCAAACCAATGAACACTCACCTCCACAAATGTCTCCATATTGAGTAGCGCCAGTCCACCGACCGTCATCTCCACTGCGTTTTGCGATCGATGAAGCATAAAGGCCATCATCTTCTGCTCCTCAGTTGAAAGTCTATACCAACAGGTATCGTACAATGCCCGCATAATTTGATCGTTCTGCAATTTGCAACAATTTTAATCAATCTTCCTCATTGCCACCAACTTGCAGTTTGTCACCTTAATCGTCAAAATAGTTCCCAGGACACAGAATTCCAACAGTTGAAAAAAAGAAAAAATCAAAAACGTAAGTGCACCTATGTTGTAGGTCATGTAGAAGTTGAACAACGACAGTGCAATACAGGCTACTGAAGACAGCACTTGTACAAAAACGCAGACTCCGTAATGTTCATCCAACATCTCCTCGTAACTGAAATGAGCCACAAAATTACTGAGCTGTTTTAATCCCATTTCAGCGTTTATATTACGCGATAAGTTCCTGATGCATAACGCATATCTCCAGAACCTTTTTTCGAGTCTCGTGGTCCATTCGATCCTCCTTCTCCGTCAGCTTATCTAATTCTTTAAGACCATTAATGAACACATCTGCTATTCCAGGCATATGCCCAACAACTATGATGATTCCTAAGTCTGCAGCGATAATTCCCGCCACAGCCATAAATATCAGCAGAAGATGAAAAATGGTTGTCGTGATGAAGCCCGTTGTAGAAACCGTCTCTATTCCTGGTATATGCAAATTGATCAGCAACATTCGTTCTTGGAAACGTATGTAAGTCACTATTGGATATATTAGGAAACCAAGGCCACCGCTAATGCCAACCACAAGAAAAAGCCTAAACGCATAGGTGATCAAAACTACCCAATACACCAATCGGCTGTTGTTCTCTTTGTGTTTGATGTTCCTACCGTAGACAGATATAAGTCGTTGGTGATTTTCTTGGTAGTACTTATCACTTATCAATGCATTGAACGCTTTCACAAGAGTGGATATACCCATCCCAAAAAGCGATAGCGTTTCAATCACTTGGAACCAATCGCCCCAATGTAGTATGACCGTATATCCACTGAATACCATAAACAGCATCAGGCAAAAGGAACTGAACATCGTCATCTTATTTGGCTTGAATTCTATGTCCAGGACGTCATATCCGACGAACCGTAGCTGCCAGCGCAGATGTGCGATCAGCTTTTCGTACATATCGATAGCGTAAATTTGGGCCAGTGCTTCTTCATCGAAGATTAGAAAAAAGCGCTTCTGAATGCGATGGAGATCCATGTCGGACGGTTGTTCGTTAAGGACTGAGCCAGGCCACCCTGAATGGGATGCTCGTTAATGGGTTTTGCGTATGTACATTATTAATCTAGCACATTGCTCCAGCAAGTCACCGTCTACGTTGTACATTAGGGTGGGTCAACTATACCACCCTCTGATCCCCTCAGCTCTTTCAATTCCCTTACCATCTGGATTTGCGGGAGAGCTTTATGGAAACGGTCCGAAACTGTTCAATTGCTTGTCGAAAAATAAAAAATCACTCAATGTTTACCAAACCTGGTATTTAGATTAGGAAAACTATACAGAACAACTTCGTGCAAGACCGCAAATCGAGCTGATTTCTGTGTAAAAAGTTATTATTTAATTATTATGGCCATGGCCGACAGAAAAAAAATCGAATCGATGTGCGGTCTTGGACGAAGTTGTTCTGTATAGTTTTCTCAATCTGAGTCTCAGCAAGCATATGAATAGTTTTGTTCCGTTTTCCACAAACTTTAAAGCTCTCCCGCAAATCCAGGTCATTACCGAGATCGATCAAATTTGGTACAGTTCCTGGAGACCTCAATACGAATCGAAAGAGCTGTGGAGAGCCAGGGGTTGTGATGCGTCATATAAACTTACCTACCCTATTGTACATGCATTAACATGAACCTTGTTTTGCACTGATATGATTCCCTTCGTAGAAACAATTATAATGGAACAATCAGAAGTTGAGATACATCAGCGAAACTGCTTTCATTAATTTCATTAGGGCTCATGAAAAAGCATATGTTTGAGAAAATAAAAAGAGATTTATTTCAAATGAACAGCGTGATTATCTTTCACCCCAGCAGTCCTTTGTTTAATCCAAGGTTGCAAAGACTCATTTCAGCTAAAATAATGTTTTTCGGAATAGTAAAACCAAAAGATGGTATGATGGCATGTTTCACTTGTAACTTACAAGAAGAGGTTACAAAGTATGCGTTGGAAACATAAAACCTGTAAATTTTGCTTTCTATGAGTCACAATCAGCAATTTGCTGATCCCTGAGTGAGTGAGTTTGTGAAAAATCGCTGATTGTGACTCTCATGAAGTGAAATAAACAGGTTTAATATGTCAAACACATTCTTTGCAACCTCTTCTTGTATCCTACCAATTCAAAATTTGATCATGGCATCTAATTATTTCATAATTTAGAAAAACATTGTTTTAGCTGAAATGAGTCTTTGCAACCTTGGTTTAATCCAAGTCGGTGCTGCCGGGATGTTCTGTGGCATAACATTTCTGATCACGCCTTTCTTAGGAAGGGAAGTGCAGGCGTTGGTCCCTGGTTCATGAGTTGATGGATCGATAGGTCCAGGTGTGGGAGCTCGACGGAAAACAAATCAAGGAAAAATAATTATTTCAAATGAAGCTACGATACGTTTCTATAAAAAAAAAATGAACATTTATGTAAGGTCCGTTATCAGCTGTTTGACGTAACATTGTCATGATGTGAGAACATAAGCGTTGTACAGCATTTAAATCGATTTTACGAATGCAGCTTTAGATTCGGTTTATCGGCTGATTACAATTCTTGGCGCTCCAATTGTTTTTGTACATCAACGAACTCATATTTCCAAAAACATCTTTAATTGGGCGACACTGAGGCAAGTTTGTTGGATTGCGGTTCTTTTGGTACATACGGGATATTTTGATTTTCCAAGAAGCATAATTGCAAACATAACCGCAAACATTAGTTTTGGTACACTTCTTGGTTGATAGCCAAACCGCTAGGCTTGAACCATGGCTGAGAAATTCTTCTCTCTCTGATATGGCGATATACAGCATCACTCTCTGTTAAAACTTGTGTTAGAACTTGAATCTTACATTTGGAGATGTTGTACAGCTATTTTCTGAATAATATTGATCATTTCCAGGAATGTGAGATTTGGAAGAGAGGAAAGTAACTTTCATCATCCAAAACGAGACATTTTCCTGAATAATTTCTTGTCATCCAACGGCATTGGATTTTCACGTTCGAAATTAGATGATCGGTGCATTCTGGAGTACTTCATTTCTTTCGACACACTATTCCTATCCTTTTCAACGTTTTACAGGTTGCGTGGAATTGAACTTTTTCGCGGCGTCCCGCTGACTAATCGAATCTTTGTTGTTGAACGAATCCCTCTTCCGAACTGTTGTCAAGGAGCCAGAATACGATAAACAGTAGAAATTGTTCTGTCTTCAATGAATTTCACAAGATATATTTCCATAAGGATTTAGATGGCTAATTTACTTCTCTGATTTGAAATGATCCACCGAAAACTTTTTCCCCCGAGTTTCGTGTGTTTTGAAGAACTGTACAATGCGCTCACGAAGTGTTTCTTGTTTTGATGCCACTTTGAACACAAATGAGCATGTAAAAACAAAATAAAAAAGTCTATAGTTTTTATGGAGAGAGAGAGCTTTGATTTCCATAAGCTTTCTCTTTTTTGTGGACTTTTGTGGTTTGGTCTGAGAGGGTTGAAGTTATTCTTATTTTTTAGTTATCACCCGTTAATTTTCATATCGATCTCTTTGCATGACATGTTCGGAATATGACGTTGCTAGAGTCCCCTTTTTGAATATCCTTGAAGTCCAAGGAGACTAGCTCTATTTTATATGAATGTAATTTACACATTCTTAAATTGTGCAAACGACTGTTAACGTAGGCGATGGATAGCTAAAATTGCTTAAAACCAGCCTATGTAGTTTATGGACAGACCCTTGCGAAGTTTCTGGCAGTTTTCTGATGGATTTACCTTGCTGGAAAAGATAGTAGTTTCCCGTTCTTATGACTATGTTCTTATGGTACTATTGAAAGGGATTAAACACTTCAATACACAGAAAAAGAGATCAAACGGAAGTCTTCTTTTGATGAGCCATTATATACAAACGTACTAAAAAATACTATTGTTCTGTCTTCAATTAATTTCACAAGATATATTTCCATAAGGATTTAGATGGCTAATTTACATTTAGATTTTTCAATTTGTGTCGAACTGGTCGACAAGATACAAAAGCAAGCTGGGACTGATTGATTGCTCATCTCACATTTTTCTTAAGAGTAATAGAATGCTTCATGGTAAAAATGTAAGTTGCACTAGTGACGCACTACTGGTCTTTGGAAAATTCGGAAGCAATATAATAATCTTGATTATACGGTGCTACAACAAAACCATATCGTGTTAACAACAGTAACAGTAAAAAATTACGATTATAACCTTTATTGCAGTATGAAAATAATAGAAAATTGATAAATAGACTCCGAAGCACAATGTGTTTGGATGCTCGAAGAGTTAAAAATTCACGATTGTATTGTTAAACTGTTTTAAAGTCCTCCGGCTCCGTAAAGATTTTTTTTAATCTGTTGAGCCTTGCCGAATATATAAATAGAGAATAAAGAAAATCCCGATTAGATCTAAACTTCCCATCCCAAATCATACATTTAGAATCGACTCAACCGTTTGAATGTCTATTCCAAAAATTGCACCAACATAGCTGAGTAGGTATAGATTCTTTTGATGATCTGCAAACGATTGCAATTGATTAACCAATATTTTAAATAACCAAACCAACAACTCACATCCACAAATGTCTCCATATTGAGTAGCGCCAGTCCACCGACCGTCATCTCCACTGCATTTTGCGATCGATGAATCATAAAGCCAATCATCTTCTGCTCCTCAACTGAAAGCCTATACCAACAGGTATCGTACAATGCTCGCATAATTTCATCGTTCTGAAATACGTAACAAAATATTCAAACATCCTCCATGTCATCAATTTGCAGCTCTCCACCTTAATCGTGAGAACAGCTCCCAGGACACAAAATTCTAATAACTGGAAGAAAGCAAAAACCAGGAATGTAAGTGCACCTATGTTGTAGGTAAAGTAGAAGTTGAACAATGACAGGGAAATGCAGGCTACTGACGACAAAACCTGCACAAACACTGTTGATGCATAGTTTTCATTCAACATCTCCTCGTAGCTGGAATGGATCTCACAATTACTTAAACATGCCATTAACATTTCTGTGATCATATTACCCAATGAGTTCCTGATGCATGACACATATCTCCAAAACATGTTTCCGAGTGTCTTCCAACGTTCGCTCCTCCTTTTCAGTCAGATTATCTAACTCACGCAAACCATTTATAAACACATCTGCCAATGAAGGCATATGCCCGACAATAATAATGGTTCCAAGGTCCGCAGCGAGAATACCCGCCACAGCCATAGTTATCAGTATGAAATGAAAAATGGTTGTTATGATGAATCCCGATAAAGAATCCGTGTCTATTCCAGGTATATGCAAATTAATAAGCAACAATCGCTCTTCAAAACGTATGTAAGTGACTATTGGAAATATGAAGAAACCAAGGCCACCACAAACGGCAACAACTTGAAAAAATCTAAACATATAGGTGATCAAAACTCCCCAATACACCAATCGGCGATTGTTCTCTTTGTGCTTGATGTTCCTACCGTAGAAAGACGTAAGCCGTTGATTATTTTCTTGGTAGTACTTTGCTTTCACCAATCCTATGTACGCTTTTATGAGAGTTGAAAATCCCATCCCAAATATCGATAGCGTTTCAAACATTTGGAACCAATCACCCGCATGGAGTACGATAGTATATCCACTGAATAACATAAACATCATCAGGCAAATAGAACTGAACCACGTCATCAGGTTTGGTTTGAATGATACCTCCAAGACGTCGTATCCGACCCACCGAAGCTGCCAGCGCATAACTCCGACCAGCTTTTCGTACACATCGATGCCATGAAGTTGATCCTGTGCTTCCTCATCGAAGATCAAAAAATTGTGCTTCAGAATGCGACGGAAATCCATGCCGGGCGGTAGTTATTTGAAGACTGAGTGAAGGCAACAGAGGCCACAATTATTGGAAGCTCATTAAGGGGGTCTTGCGTCCTCATTATCAATTCAAAAGATTCCAAACCGCGTCGCAAAAAAAGCAATTAATATTGCAGTGGTATGAGTGTGTGTATTGTATAAGAACGCGGATTAGGATTATTATCACTATCAGGAAAATAATCATAATCTGAGGTATTCCAGAGCAATTGAAGCATGTAGGGTAGATGCACCAGTTGTGGAAAGTGTACCAGTTATAGCGCAACTCAATTTAAACGCCGTAGGCCAAAGTTGGTTCATTTCTTAAGTAGGTAGTGCCATTACTGATTTGGTAAAGGCATTGGGAGGGGCCTGTTGTATTTTTTTTATTTTGCTACACTAAGGTTAAATAAAAACTCGCGATGATGCTATTCAATCAAAATGCGTCAAGGTAACTTGTTTTTGGGTACATTTTTACTGTGACCAATAATATGACATTGAGGCTTGCTATTATTTTCATGGTAAAACAAATAATTTTGAAATATTTATTTCATAACAACGATTGGGACCGTATGAGGAACTTTAAAAGCTAACTGAATTTGAATAAGCAATAAATTTAAGCATCTCAATCTTAAGAAAATTTTCATTGTTAGGTAATTCCATGAATTTTGTAACTAGCTTATTTTAGATTTTGATTATATCATCATCAGATAAATCTCAGACATAGGAAACAACATTAAATTTTAAGAGTTTGAATTATATATTTTTTTTCTAAAATTTTGCCTTTGAAACAAGGTAAGTGCACACAGTGCACACAGAATAAATTCCATACATTTTAAAACTTGTTTGACTTCGACAATTTTCAATATATATGTATGTCTATGCACAATTCCTAACATTTTGGATGTTAAAGCAAAAATAATTTTGAGATCCTAAAACCATGTTTTCAAGATTTTATAATTAAAAAAATATATCTCTGATACAGATTGTAAACATAAATTATTCGAATACAGATGTTAATGGAAGCCAACGAATTTAGATCAATTGTCATTATTCTAAGACTAAGCTCAAATTGCAAGATCCTTCGTAGACAGTCATTTCATAAAACATCTAGTACATGAATTCTTAAAACAAATAAAATCAGAATTTTAATAATAATACTATGTTTTGATAAGGCTGAAAATTTCATAAAAACTCCACGAAATAATTATGCCTAAAAAAAAATCGCCGAAATGTTAATCAAAATACATTGTAGGAAATTAAAAAATCTTGAATTTCCTGGACTTCAAAATTTGTAATCTTGAGAAACTTACCTGTATTATGACGCTAACAGCATTTTGCAAGAGGAAAATTGTTCGTGGTAATAAAGTAAGAAAAAAATAATATATAAAAATTTCTCTGACTATATGTTTAGTATAACTTCTGCGTGAAGTCATCGATTTACATAGTTGAAGATGCTAATTTCAAATAACTGACTGAAGTGGTAATTTTTATACGATAGATGAGGAGGAGATGAAAGTATAGAATTGATAGTTCCGTTTAGATTACGGCAGTGTGAAAATTGCATATAGAAGAGTAGATAGCGAGCTAGGACAACTTTTAAGGAAGGTACAAATCGGTTTTATCATCTCTCTTTACCAAACTCCCCCCTTTGCAGAGGGATGATGAGGGGTGTGTCCTCCCCGCCACCACTGGCAAAATGGGTACATGAAATTTCGGAAATCAAAAAAATTTTGTTGATGCCAAATGTCTTAAAAATGCATGAAACGCGAGATTTGGTGTAATCTCGAAAAAAAATTTGACTTTTTAACATATCCACCTAATACGGGACAACCCTTTATATATGTTTCTTTTAAATTCCTACCCTATAGAGGTGCCAAAAAAGTACCCGCATAAAGCATATTGTTTATCTGGCTTCCTTTTGGGTATTAATTAAAAAACACACACTAACAGTGTTCTCCTACAGGCAAGCAACAGTCTCAAGTACTTATTTCTACGTAAACTTTTCTACCTTGGCTTTTTCTACCTATGCTTTAGTATAAAAAGGATGTGATCTGAGGATGTATGATCAATCAGTAGTGCGTTTGACGAAGACAACAATCGGAGAACTGATAGAGAATAGTACAACAGTTTGTTAAAAATGGTTTCATTTGGCAAGTTGGAGAATATCTGCCGTCGTTCGGCCATTCTGTTAACTTGCCGACGTATAGTTGAGTTTTTCGTAAACATATGTTTCATTTGCGTGCTGAAAAAAAAGTTGTAAGCTTAGTGCCTTCCTAACAATAAAGGAATTAAAGGATGCTTGGAAGAAAAAAAACTTAACACATTTGGTAAATGATATAAGCATAAAGAAAAAACTGTTGCTATTTTTCAAAACCTGGAAAGCCTTATTAAACTGCAAACTTAGAATGGCTAAGAAAGACGTCGAAAAAAGGAACACATTTCATGGATCATTGCGGAGTTTGTTTGATATCGGGAAGAATTTTAAGGCAAAAACCCGTGAAGAAAAGCAGGCGATGCAATATTTGCAAAAACAGCGGGAACAAGCTCATCTTGAAGAAGAAACTGAGGTTCTCCCTACCAATGAAACCAAATCGTGTAGCGATTTTGAGGAAGAAGGGTCAAGCCAAAGACCGGATCAAATTTGTAGTGCAACCTCAATTGAAACATCATCACAAAACGACAGCCAGGCTGGCTCAGTGTACTCGCCTAGTACATCCGAAAGAGCTTCTCCAAAAACAGGTACGTTGTGATGTTTTACTAATGTTTTTTTTTTTTTTTTTTAGATTATACACCTATTACCATCCATATTAATGTATTTTGAACGTTCTAGGTTCTCCAAAACCAGCTTTGACACGTAAATCGCAACTGATACGAGTTGTTACAGTTGAGGTAGCTGCTGCATTGGACCGCTGTCAAGTGAGTGATCGAAATGCTGTGTTTCTAATATCATCGATCGCTAGTTATCGATCGATGTTTCATCATTATTGTTGAACAAGGAATCTGTCAGAATCGCCAGAGCAGGAATTCGCTAACAAATACAACATGATTTAGAAGCGTCGTTTAAGCCAGATAAAAATTTAACAGTACATTGGGATTCTAAGCTACTACCTAACAAATTACCATCCAAAGCTATACCAAAAACCGGGCACTTGGCCATAGTTGTATCAGACGAAGGCATTAGCAAATTATTGGCTGTTCCACCCATCGAAAACTCTACGGGGGCACAACAAGCAGAAGCGGTGTACAATGCAGTCGTCGAATGGGGGCTTGCGGACAGGTATGATCTTAAATCTTGTATGTTCACCACAGAATTCTGACTATTTTATCGTTTGTTTTCAGAATTATGTTTACATCTTTTGATACTACTGCATCAAACACCGGTAGAAAAAAAAAAGCTGCGTGTCAGTACCTGGACAAATTGTTTAATAGGCAGCTTATAGGCCTCCCTTGTAGACACCACATACATGAACTGCTACTTCGCAAAGTTTTTAAAATTCTGAAATTTGAAACGTCAAAGTCTCCAAATGTTGACATTTTTGAGGAATTCCAATCAAAATGGCACATTTTGGAAAATACTTCATACCACTCAGGTATGGATGATGATTTTTTTAAAATAGCTATTTCGGAAATAGAAAGATTCGCGTTATTGGAGTTTTATGAAAAACAAATTAGAGAGCAACACCACCGTGGTGATTACCGAGAGGTTCTACAACTTGCCATTTTATATTTGGGTGGAAAAATCGATGAAAAATTACAAATAAGAGCTCCTGGTGCGTTCCACAATGCAAGGTGGATGGCCAAAATCATTTATTCTTTGAAAATGTTTATTCTTCGGCATGAATTTGCTTTACCAGATAAAACTAAAAATCAACTAGCTCGATTTTGTGTGTTCATTGTAAAAATTTATTTGAAAAGTTGGTTTCTTTCTCCGTGTGCTGCGATGGCACCCAACAACGATCTGAACCTGTTAAAAATATTTAAGGAATATGAAACTGTCGATGAAGACGTTGCGAAAGCAGTACATAAAGGAATTTTAACTCACTTGCAATATTTGGACAACAGCCTTATCGGACTATGTCTGTTCGAAGAAAATGTAGACCTCCCGGTTAAGAAAAAGGTCATCGAAGCCTTACTTCTATCAGGTGAATGCTTTAATTGATACATTTGCATTTAATTTTCTAATGATTTTTTTTTACTCATAAAAACATTACAGCCAGATCCATTGTTGAATCCAACGATATTTCAACGATTGAACTACACTCGTTTGTACAAGGCAGCAGTGTTATTGAAAACTTATTCAAAGCTCTCCAAAATTCCGAAGTCGTTGCTGCATGTCGATATGGAGCAGTGGAGTAGTTCCATCGAGTTAAAAAATGCCAAAAGACGGGTTCAATGTTCGGAAGTAGTTAATGATAATGCAGAGCGTGGAATAGCATTTATTAAAACATACAATTCAAAACTATCCACGGATGAAGATCAAAAGCAGTGCATTTAACAATTAGTTGAAGATCATCTAAAAAATTATAAGAATACCAGGAAATCTGATTTGGTGTAGCTAATAAGGAAATATATGACAAAGTATAAAACAAGTATTTTTTCATCTTTTCAGGCAAATGTTCCTCTTGTGTAAAACTCATGATTCCAAAAAAAAAACAGATTAACGCAATTCAAGATATTTTTACAATTGATTTTAGGAATTTCTGATGAAAAGTTGTGGTTTTTCATATATTTTTGAATTTTTGGACCACCCTAATGAAGAATAATTGGACCACCCTAGTGAATTATTTCGTATTAGATCCTAAATGGTGGTTTAATTCGATATATAAGCAGGTTGGAGACAATTATGAACAGTTTTAGAAGCCGACTCATCAATCTTCTATGAAAAAAATTCAAAGTCCCAGAAAGTCGATTTTTGAAAAAAAAAAAAATTCGAGACTACACCAAATCTTGACGTTTCATGCATTTTTAAGACATTTGGCATCAACAAAATTTTTTTG